TCAAATCCAACGACCAGCGATCTCCACGCATCTCATTTGTATACACCGGCGTAAAGTGCGTCAACGGCAGCACGCCTCCCGGTTTATTTAACCACCCTGTGCTCCCGCTCCTGCCCGGAGAAATTGTTTTCGTCTTTTTTGAGTTTTGATGGTAAGCATATCAGACGATCCTACTCCGCGCTTGCGTTGGAACGAGATAGCGATGCGCGCCCGCTAGGACAGGTTGCAACACATGCGCCTCGGAGCGAGCGTCACTTGCAGCATGTGGGAGCAGTGCATCACGTCTGACATAAACTAGGTGAGCTAGGAAAGACTAGTTTCCTCATTCGCATATTATATTTTTTTTTTCATGCTGCTATCGGCCAGTAGATGAATTTAAAAATAATAACTTTCTACTAGCACGCCATAAATTTTGTATTTCAAGATTTAAAACTTTGTAATTTTAAACTTTACATTTTAAATTCAGAACCTATATACGAGCACATTTAAAGCTGTGTACTTTAAAATTCAAATTTTGTAATTGAAAACTTTATTTTTAAAATTCAGGATATACTATCACATTTAGAATTTTGTATTTCAGGATTTAAAACTTTATAATTTCAAACTTTGTATTTTAAATTGAAGAACTTTATACTAGCACATCCCTCCAACCTCCACACTTAGTCATCGCTTCCCCTTGCGCCACGCGCGTCTGTGCGCTGCTACATGGTGCAGGGCATGTGCGCCAAATAGTAATTGGCCGTCCACCCTCCAGCCTCCACGCCCAGTCCTCGCTTCCCCTTGCGCCACGTGTCTGTGCGCTGCTACATGTCGCAGCGCACGCGTGCCAAATAGTAATTTGGTGGTACATCTCTTCATGGTGCTCGGTTTTTAAAGTCGGCTAAATATTGTTAGCAATGTCACAGCAAATATGACCATATGAGTAAGCCAACAGTTTCGTTAGTTTTTTTACATGACCGGCACGTTGCAAACAGAGGTCCCGTTCGCTTCGCTGAAAAAACAAGCCGAAACACTGTTCCGGTTGAAAAAACAAGCTAAAAAAGACGGATTATAAGAGAAGCGAGAATCTAGTTTGGAGGCCACCCATACGTAAGATTGTAACCGGGAGTGATTAGGAGTAATCGAGAGGGAGCAAGTGAGATAACTCATGTAACTAAATTAATGTGCTAGCAGGCTAAAAAGAAATCTAAAATCTAACTAGAAATGGAATGGGATGGTGTTTACTAACATTAGATCACTTGAGGAGGGTATATTTGCCAAAAACTTGAAGATTTTGCATAGCACCTCTCTAAGCTATGCTGCCGAAAGAAGAGAGGTCCTCTTGGTTGTAGTCGGGCTTAGGCACCGAGGTGTTACTCTTTAAATAGGCTAGGAACATTATGTCAGTGGCCTCAAGCAGCATAGTTGCTTTGTAATACTATCAATTAGTGTCACCTGATTTGATAAGGCCTTCACTGCACAGATTAGCCCATCACTGCCGGGTCTAAACCCGATATTACCGATTCGGATTCGATAGTGAGAATCCGATAGTGATGGGGAAGTCCATCACTATCGGTTTTCTGACAGTGAGAATATGCCAGATTAGCTTATCACTGTCGATGGGGCAAGTCCATCACTAGCCTATCACTGTTAGTGATGGGGCAAGTCCATAACTGCCGTTTCTAAGTATAAAAAATAATAAAAAATATATATGCATTTTCAGGATTCAAACTCAATACCTCAACATTTATAACCTATCACTACAGGTGATGGGGCAAGTCCATCACCGCCGATTCTAAGTGTTAAAAGTAAAAAAGTGTGAGTTTTTTAGATTCAAACTCAATACCTCAACATTCATATTTTCTCAAGCATCCACACTAGCTGAATTACACAACAAATGTGACTATACACAGTTGATGCTATTCTTTTAACTACACAATTTCAAATCTTGTATTGTATATTTGACACTCTAAACGATCTCAAATGAAAAAGTTGTTAACTGTAAAGTTATAGATCTCGTCGAATACTACAACTCTGATGGTGACTTTACACCATTCAACATTGTTAACCATCTCAAATTCGATCCGAGAACTTATATTGAATATTTGGACTTGTAAACCATCTTAAATTTAAAAGTTCTCAACTACAAAGTTTTAGATCTCTTTAAAACTCTATAATTTTGATATAAAATTTATTTTGATACGACCTCATATGAAAAATTTACATTTTTTGTGCAAAGCAGCCTATCACTGGCGGTTCAAGACATGAACCAGTAATAGGTGGACCAATCACTACTGTTTTGTGGCTTCAACTGGCAGTGATAGTACAATGCCTATCACTACCGGTTGAAAACATGGGCCAGCAATGATAGTCCACCTATCACTGCCAGTTGTACTATCACTATCGGTTGAAAGCCATAAATCGACAGTAATAATGTTTTTTGTGGTAGTGCTCAATCAACACCGTTGCCCCAGGGCTTCAACCGGTAAAGTTATCACTATCATTTGTACCAGCACTCTCAATTGAAATACTGAGCCATGTAGCCTTTCCAAAAGCAGAGATTGAGAAAGGTGGTTTTGGATAGTGAAAAGACAGAGAGTGATTTAGAAAGTCTATTAAAGTATGTTTTTATTTGTTTTCTAAATTCTACTATAAAGACTTACATAGAGGACCTTTTGGAGATGTTTTTAGGACAGTCCCAATGCTAACAATTACGGGTAGTTTCTATGTCTATTATCTAGATAGACACTACACATATAAACTATCTTCTCTTTCAATCATCTACCTATTGCATCTCTTTATATCTTGATTATTGTGTAGGCATGGTTTTGAAAACTATTTCTTCATTTCTCTTCATTAATTATAGTGTCGTATCATCTTTTTGCTTAGTCGATACTCTAATCTATATCTAATAATAAAAAGACAAAATTTCAGCCCAATTTTTTTGTCCAGCCCATTTAATTTGGTTCAACAGTCCGGTCCACTCTCTCGCGTCGGGCCCACTCGAGGCCCACTCACGTGACTCACATCGCTCCATCGCTCCGATTAAAAAAAAAAGGAAAACCATCGTCTCCCAGCCGCATCGTTTCCGCCGCTCCTCCCGTCCGCCGCAGCGCCGCTGATCCACCCGCCGCCGTTGCCTTGGAGCCGCTGTCCTCCTGCGCGTCGCCGCCGCCACGCGTGACTCTCGGCGGCCGGAGCTCACCGTCCGCAGCCCGTCCTCCTCCCACGCTGCGGAGGCGCCGCCGCATCGGTCTCCCGCGCCGGCGCAACTCCCGCCCACACGTAGGGCCGTCTCGCCCTCCCGGTGGCCGGTTTCCGGCGCTCGCCGTCTCCCCTGCCGCGGTGGCGCCTCCACCGCTTGCCGGGCTACGCACGCCAGTCTTCCGCGCCGGCGCAAATCCTGTCCGCGCGCAGGGCCGCGTCGGCCTCCCGGCGCGCCGTCGCCGCGTTCTTCCGAGAAGCCGGCGCCGCCGCGGTGGCCGCGGGCGCTGGTCTCCTACGGCGGTGGAGGTGCTGCCACAGAGGAGCCAGCCAACCACCAGCTCGGATTGGGACACCAACTCAGATCGGCAAATTATCCATGATAAGTTCGATACGAACTCCACGTTCGACACAAACTTCTCCACTTTTTTCCATAATGTGTTCGAACAGGTTTCTCTCTTTTGCCTTTTTTTCCTCTTATATAATAGCCCACGAATCTTGTTAAAAAAATTAATCTTTGTTGACAGCGAAGTCTCTGCATCTCGAACCCGATCTTGCCAAATTTGAATCTTGGTCTCGCCAGATTGGAATTGACAACAGGGAATCGAAAGGCGATGCTGACGACAAGCAACCGTCCATGGGGAAAAAGTTTTCAGAGAAGAACATGTAATTTTGTTCTGTGCCTTTCATCTTTTATTGTGGATCTTAGCAGGGTTTTGGAATTGTGATATGTCAGAACCAAGTTACATATGTGCAGATTGTATTGTATTTGTTGTAGTAAATATTCTTGTTATTACTAAACTGTAAGGCTTGAAAGTTGAAAATTTTAGTATGCGACTCTATGTGGATATGACTCTTTGTGCATATGACTCTGGAAATTTTAGTATGCAACTCTGCACGAATACTAATTAACCCAATTAACCATGACCATGGATGAATTTAGCATGTTTATCAAATAAAAAGAAGAATAAACATACAGATGAGTGAATGGCAGCTTGCGATTCTGAATTTATTTACCAGACAACTTGCATACCTGATCAGTAGCACTGCACTTCTAGCGCTTGTAATTGACACAGATATGTAATTTCTTTGTCATCTTGCTCGATTTTGTCCAGGGTTTTATTTGCTGAAATCCATGGTTTATGTTTTTTATGTATGCAAGAAATATATTATGTTTATCTCTTAATGTCAGATTGGAAGGTAGTTTTTTTTTGTGCTCCATACATATTTGACTCGACCCATATTTGCATCTTTGTGATTTCTACAGTCAACCCATATTCTATGTCAATGATATTTCAGGATTTCAATCCAAGGCTGGTGACAGAAGTTCAGTCAGCCTCACCCAATCACATAGAAGCTGCTTTAAGGGATGTTCACATGAGGGCTCCGAATTTGCAGCTGCTTATTGTGATTCTTCCGGATGTTACTGGTCATTATGGTATGTGCATCCTTGAAAAATCTGTGCTTCGGTTGTTATATGGAAATTGAAATTTATTCTATGTTTTATCAGGTTTGAGGGAAAAATACCGTGCTTGAGCGAGCCTTTGTGCCTAATCGAATACCTTTTGTCTTAGATGTGCCAACAATCATTTTTGGTGCTGATGTTATCCATCCTACAGCAGGAGAAGATTCCTCGGCTTTTATTGCAGCTGTTAGTTTCTTGTTCTCTGCTAACAATAACAATTGTTTCATTCAAATGCTTTATGAATTTAAAAGTAAATTTCACTCCACATTGAAGATTAACTCCCAATGCATGGAAATGTCATGACACAAAGTAATGGAATAGATGGTGCAACCTTTTGCAGGTGGTTGCATCCATGGACTGGCCACAAGTCACAACATATAAAGTTCTGGCCTCGGCACAAACACATAGGGAGGAGATGATACAGAATCTCTTCTGGACTGGTACAGATGCAGAGAAGGGCACTCCAGTAAATGGTAGAATGATAAGGTAATTTGTATCATTTGTGTTCATAAGAGCTGTGAATGAAGAGGTGATAGTTTGAAACTAAGGTGTCTCTAAATTATGCGCAAGGAGTTGCTGACTTCATTCTATAAGAGGACTGGCTGGAAGCTCGATAGGATTCTAATTTGTAGGTATGTGCTTGACTTATCTAGGTAACTCTTGGATGAAGACTTCAACACTTTTGTTTTGTTTATTTAGGGATGGAATAAGTGAAGGACAATTCAGCGAGTTGTCCCTCCATGGAAAATGTGCTTCCTAACTTATTAGCTAAAATTAGGATGTGGTAGGTGGCATTGCTGTACATGTATAACTTAGGAGTAGAATGTGTGGTAGTATAATTATAGATGGACTTGTACTTTGTGAGGGCCAAAACTCAGTGCTGTTTTAATTTGCTTGGTTATGAATGAAACGTGGATAATTAGCTAGGTGGTTGCATTTTAATCCGATACGGGCTTAATAGCATTATTACCAACATTAACTTGTAATATGGATGCCATGGATGTCATGTACCATTCCATGGTTGTTTCCCATGAATATTTCATAATTTTTTCTCCCGTTGCAACGCATGGGCATTTTTGCTAGTCTAATTAATAAATATAGAAACTATCTGGTTTTTTAGTTGAGTGTATCTTTTTTTTTTGATCTCATGTTGAGTGTATCTTATTGAAGCTATTGAACCAGCAACAATACAACATCACCGCAGGTTCAAAGCGACACTAATGGATAATTAATTTCGCCTTGTTAAATGAAGACTTGAGGTTTGTGTAAGCATTTTTATTTCTCAGGTGCTCGTGAAGAAAATGCAGGTGCCACAGACACTGGCCATGTTTATTGGGCCTCGTTGGTTGGGTGGCTAACCTCCAACCAAGGCTCCAGAAAGTCACCTTTGCGTTGTTTGGTTGCCTGGTTGGAGTCTGAAGCCAGGAGCCAGGCTCCAGGAAAACGCAGGTGGCGGTCGTTTTTTGGGAGCTAGGCCTGTTCTTCCACAGCGGCTGCGGTGGCCTTCACATGGCACTCCTTCCCGTCGTTACCCGTGGTGGGTGTGGGCGGCAGTGGCACTCCTTCCCGACGTTCTCGTGGGTGCGTGGGTGAACTCGCTGCGAACCCGCTTCGGCTCATGAGGTGCTCATCGAGACGCAAGCTGACGGGCATACTGCGGGCTGCGATGGGCATCTGAAGGTGCTTTCACGAGATGCTCCCCCGTCTTTGGCGGTTCCTCCTCCGTCTTTGGGCGAGTTCCTCCTCCGGCGTAGTTCTTTCGCGGCATGGTAGAGACGGGCGTGGCCACCGGGAAGATCAGCGGCGCCGGAGGAGGACGACATGGCCATGAGGAAGAGCTCCCTCTGCTGCGGGGCATTTACATATTTACCACTATTACGGATAGCATCTTACACTGTGTCACTTATACATGAGTCACTGCATGGTATTTTTTATATTACTCACATCGTAATGATGGTAAATATATAAATATTTCCTCTGCTGCCGTGCTCGTCGGACAAAATTTCTCAAAGAGGGTACACTTACTGGCATGAACATGAATAAGAGGTGATTCTATGCAAAACAAATTAGGTAACCAAACACGTTATTTGCTAGATAGGCTTAGCCAACACGGGCACCCAAGCGGATTGGCTTGTTTGTCCGAGCCTCCAAAGCTGCTAGTCGTGCGTACGTACGTCACTACTAGATTCATGCGCTTTGCCGAGTGCCTACTTTGCCCTCGGCAAAGCCTTTGCCGAGGGCAGCACTCGGCAAAGTGCCTTTGGTAAAAAATCCGTCGGCAAAGAATTCTTTACCGAGCGCCTTTTATCGGGCACTCGGCAAAGTCTTTGCCGAGTGCAATCTCGGCACTCGGCAAAGAAAAGTGACCGTCATGGCGCCGGTTGCGTTAGCACATGCTTTGCCGAGTTTCCATCAAGCGGTGAAAAAGAGATACAAACTACCGGTGGTGAGGAAACTGAGTGCTTGGTGAAGGAAAAGTGTCGTCGCCTGCTTGCGCCTGAGATGGGTTATTCGAACCCGCCGACGGAGGCTGCATAAAGGACAAGAGATTGCATATGTTAGAGTGATCATCTAATGAAAGCACTAGTCGAAGCAATTTGGTTTCATACTCACAGGACTAGCTATAACTAACGGCGACGGTGGAGCGAACTGCGGCACAGCTACACCATGCATTTGCCCAAAGTTTTGCAGGAACGTCGTAATCTCCGCCACTTGCTTGCTTCGCTTTGCCTTTCCGCTTCGGCCCGCTCGTCTGTCTTTTTTCGCTTTACCGCTCGGTCCTCGCCACTGGTCCCCCATGACTCCGAGCCATCCTCTCGTTCTCGGCCGCAACATTTCAATCGAATGTTTGATAATGCAAAAGGTAACTAAGTTATTTAAAGATCAATGTACGAAGAGTTAAACGGGACTAACTCGGAGTGCGTCGACCTTCATTGTGAAGGGACGACCGTTGGTGTATGGTCGCCCCGCCGCCAAAGTGCGTGCTCGGATCCGGGAGAGGAGGGAATCTCGTTGGGCTCGAGGGTGCCATCGCCAATCGAAGATGACCCATGCTTCTTGCCTTGTCCGAGCCTCATGACCATCGTCCCATCGATGTCGTCGGTGCTCGGATCCCAGTCTGGCCCATGGACCGGAGCGAACCATGGAAACTAACCCATCTACGCATCCGCGGGATGTCCAAAAAACGTGGACAATCCGAAACAGATACGGTCGTAGATATACAAAGATCTGCATACCTCCAACCGTATCTCTTTCGGACGGGAGACACCTAACTAGGTTACGTGACCAAAGACCACATACGGATAGAGGGGTTATACCTAGGGTGCCGGTGAGGTCAGGGTAGCGGGGCAGTGGAGAGTCGGTGCAGTGGCGAGTCGATGCGGTGCAGGAAGACCCGCAGCGCCGACGAAGACGATCGGGGTCGTCGAGTCCCTCCCACAGGTCCTCCTGCAAAAAAGGGCAAAAATGGTTAGTGTCGACTCAAAATTTCGGCAGCACCTCCCCTGCACGGGGAGGTTCCCAAAACCTACAAAAAACATGGCACAAAGGCCAACAACCACATATATACCAAACATGGGCACGAAGGCCAACAACCACCAATATATCAAGAGGAGTCATGTACTTTAGTTCTCTTTCCATGCAGATGAAAGTATTGAAGTAGTACAACAACAATTACTACTAACCCTACAACTACTACTAACAACTACTTAACTACTAACAGTACTAATACTAAGAACTACTTAACTATTAACAACTACTACTACTAACCACTACTACTTACTAACTACGACTATTTACTAACTACTACTACTACTAACCCTACAACTAACACTACTAACTACTACTACTAACCACTACTACTTACTAACTACTACTATTTACTAACTACTACTACTACTAACCCTACAACTAACACTACTAACTACTACAACTAACACTACTAACTACTACTACTAACACTACAACTAACTACTACTAACTACTACTACTACTAACACTACAAGGGTAGGGCTTACCCTTGGCAAGAAGAAGCAAGAAGAGCGAGCCAGCGGCGACGACGGCGGGGATGACCGCAGTAGCGCGAGGATCAACGGGCGGTCGGAACGGCGTGAGGATCGATGGGCGGTCGGGTCGGCACCTTCCTCTTCTTCCTCCTCCCCCTTCTCTTTCTTCCTCTTCCTCCTCCCCCTTCTCTTTCTTCCTCTTACTCCTCTCCTTCTCCCTCTGCTGGCCGACCACAGGGTACGGTGAAAGCATCTAGGCCCCTAGTTGGGTTTCGGTGATTAATGATAATACAAGATTACTATGACTAACGTGTATTTTGCAGAGGCAATTAAGTTAGGTCATGGTAATGGAGATCGATTAGGCAATCATGGATGTCATGCCCCTACGATGGAAATCGCTTCGGTTTTCAAAGGATGGATGACAAGGTTAAGGATGACTAGTTCTAAGTGTTGATTGGAGTTGGAGAGACACTTAGAGTAGTTTAGGACTTTGTTTTTTTCTTTGGCCGTACTATTAAGGGGGGTATGGACGGGTAGCTTGACCTAGGTGAGTCTAGTGAGTTAGGTGTGGTGCACACTTGCTAAGTCTAGCACTAGGTAGCTCCAACAAAGTCCTTAGATCCTATGGAGCAAACTTCATTCACATATGATTGAGAGTTGGAAGTGAATGGAGGGTCAAATACCGACCGGACGCTGGCTTCGGTGCGACCGGACGCTGGCCGCAGGGTCCGGTCGGTTTATTTGATCAAGGAGATTGCGTCTGGCCCGACCGGACGTTGAAGTGATCGAGTGATCGGACGCTGAGGACCAGCGTCCGGTCGACTCCAGTAAGGTTCCAGAGAAGGAATTCTGCGACCGGACGCGTCCGGTCAGTACTGACCGGACCTTGAGGATCCAACGTCCGGTCGAGTATAGTAAGCATCCAGTGAGGGAAAAATGGGACCGGACGCGTCCGGTCAGTGGTGACCGGACCCTGCCAGCGTCCGGTCAACACTTAAACACTGGTGTGCAGGTTAAACTGACCGGAGCGTCCGGTCAACATGACCGGAGCGTCCGGTTACCCCGCAGAGGCACATAACGGTTCGTTTTTCAGCCCATGTTATAAATAGTAGCTCCACTCGTGTGTGGAGTCACTTTTGCTCATTCCAACAGCTGAGAAACACGTTTGTGAGTGCCAAGAAGAGCAAGGTCCTAGTGAGGTGTTTGTGATTTGAGAATACAAGAGAGTAGCCTCATTAGTGAATCAAGAGTAGCAAAGTGTGCATCCACCGTTCTCATTAGGCTTCGCGTGGTCAAGTGAGAGTTCGTGGTTGTTACTCTTGGTGATCGCCATCACCTAGACGGCTTGGTGGTGATTTGGAGCTTGGTGATCATCCGACGGAGCTTGTGGGTGACCCAACTCAAGTTGTGAGCAGTTGTGGGTGATTCACCGCGACGGAGCGTCGAAGAATCAACCCGTAGAGAGCACTTGATCCTTGCGCGGATCAAGGGGGAGCTACACCCTTGCGCGGGTGCTCCAACGAGGACTAGTGGGGAGTGGCGACTCCCCGATACCTCGGCAAAATATCGCCGCGTTTTCTCTCATCTCTTTACTTTGAGCATTTACTTTGAGCATTACTTTGAGCAATTCAATTCTTGTCATTTACATTCCTAGAAGTGTCATGCTAGAGTAGGATTGGAACTTAGGTTGCAAGTCCTTTTGTGCAATAGAACATTAGAAACACTTTCTAGGCACAAGGGATTAATTGGGCTATCA